AAATGTTCAAATTGTCTAAGCTCAAGAACTTGAGATTCTGAAATTCTTCTTCTACGTCCCATATCTTCCCCTCAAAGGCACCAGAAAGTAACTTGAGAACTTCTAGGTTTGGTAGTCTCCCAATTGGGGAGATATGACTCCATGGAAGGCGAAAGTTTGATAAAGTCAATTTCTTTAGATTCAAAGGGAGGCTGAACTCGCCATTCTTAAGAGGGCTTCCATAGTAGAATATCTTGAGTGACGCAGTTCAATCTCGGGAAATGATTGCAGTTCATGGAAGAATCTGGTGATTCATAGAATATGCAACTCAGTTTGCAAAGATTTGGAAGCCTCTTTATAATCCTTTCTGCATCTTCACCACAAGAAAGAGATGGGCAGGAAAAACTGACCAAACTTTCTAATATGGAGCTATCACCAAGCTCTTCAGCATCTAAGTCGAAAGCAACATGGAGATTGACATGAAGATGCCTTAAACTTGTGATGCGCCAGATGGTATTTGGTAAGGTGATCTTACCACTTAATCCCTTCACAATAAGAGTTTTCAGTTTCCTGAGGTTGGCTATCGACTGCGGAATGGACTTCAAATAGCCTCCAACTGCTAAATATCTCAATTGTACCAGAATTCCAATTTCTACAGGAAATGAAATACCCAAATTGAAGCATTCAAAATCCAAGACTCTAAGCAATTTGAAGTTGTGCCAAATGAATGAGATGTCATAAGGGCGTTTGGGTTCTGAATCTGTAGATGCATAGAACACCAAAGAACGGGTGGCCAAGCCAGAAGGTTTGGATTCAACTAAGTGGCTTCTCTTCAAAGATACAGCCAACCGATAGGATGCAAATGACACGGGAGATGAATGACTGTAAAAATCAAATTCGAAACCATAATCTGTACTAGGAAAAGAAGCATATGGATTGTCAGACCTGGTTATCAGCTGAAAGAAGTTCTCATCCTCGGTTTTAGACTTACAGAAATCAAGGACAAGATCGTGGAGGCGACATGCTCTAACTTTGCCGTTGGATCTTCTTTTGGAGATTATCACCAAGCTTCTGTCAATTAGATCTATCAAGAAAGCCTCAGCCACATCTTCAAAGCCCTTATCAGTTTCTGGTATGAAACCTTCTGCGATCCAAAACCGTACCGACTTGCTCACAAGAATATCTCTGTCTTCATTAAGAACTCCCAAATATAGAAAGCATGATTTAAGATATTCCGGCAAGTGTTTGTAGCTGAGATCTAAGACTTCTTTGCACCGAGCTTCTGGATTATCAATTATTTGTGAGCTCAAGTTATCTGCGATTGCTTTCCACCAATTTTGGCTTTTTCTGTCGTTTTCAGTATACCAGCAACCGCAACAACTGCAAGAGGCAATCCTTGACAGTGATAAGCAATTTCCTTTCCGACTCCCAGCAGCTCATTGGGGCAACCTTCTTCCTTGAATACCTTCTTTTCTAACAGCTGCCAACTTTCCTCCTGAGAACAGCTTCCGACTAGGGGAGAAGGAGCTTGGAGTCCAACACTAGGAGCATTGGGAAGATGCCTTTGTGTGACTTATGAGTATCACAATTCAGGTACTCTGGATTTATGGCTGTTAAAGGAGTATGAAATGAAAGAGCCCTGGACTAAGGTTCTTCATTTTCCAAGTTTCTGTCCTCGCAATCCCATGCCATTGTGGATTTCGTTGAGTTACCCCAAAGTTATGAATATGGAATATTATATTGCTCAGGTGCAACCATCTATGTGGAGTGCCTTGTTTCTGCAAATGCAAGTGACAAAGAAGAAATGGAAACGTTAAAATGAAATCCTTCGCTATTTGACTCATGATGTATTGCTAGAAATATAATCTTGCTTTATAGTATTTGTTAACACGATGCCTCTGGAACAAACTTTTGTTATCTTCCAAATACTCTTTTAGAATTTGTTGGCTGCTTAACATTTGATACTTGATAGTAATTAATGTTTTGCTAGCAATCGGTTGTAGCAGCTGAATCAACTTGTAGTCACAAAATCAAGTCATATTGAACCAATGAGGTATGGTATGGTGGCAAAGGAGTAAGAGGTTTCAATTTAGAACTTACAACTTCGTGTGTTGGAGTGGATTCTGGCTCGATCATTGGTCCGATACCTCCTTGACAGCCACTGAACACAATACTGAGCCCCAATACACTTGAAAATTATGCACGCTCTATCTAGAAGTGGCCTCTTGACATGTTTGTCATAACACTAAGTTTGCATAATTTCTCATTGGGTTCATATTCACAATTAAACAATTGTGTGGGCACATACAAATGAAACTTAGGGCAAATTACACTTTATCCTCCTGTGGTATAGCTAATTTTCACATAACCCCCCTCTAGTTTTAAAAATTATATATAATCTCCTTATAGTTTGTATTAAAATGTCAAAGTAATGGAAATGATCATTCGTAACGGAACTTATGAAAATGTCGAAATTATCCTTGTTTAAAAACTGAAATGGTTTAAGTGACCAAAATATATAAACGTAATATGCATGATATTCTAACCCTATGTGATTTTATATTTTATCATATAACCCCCTTATATTTTAGTGTTTTACCATATAACCCCCTTATGACTTTTAATATATATACATAAACCCTATGGTTAATAAATAATTTTTAATTTTATATAGGGGTATTTTTGACATTTTAGTTGACTCCGTTATGAATTGCAAATTCTGTCATTTTAATACTTTAATTCAAATCATGATGGAGTTATGTATAGCTTGTAAAATCATAGAGAGATTATGTAATGAAACACTAAACCACGGTGGGATAAGTTGTAATTTGCCCTAAAACTTACGAAGGAGATGCCGTGACAATCAATAGCAATAGTTGTAAAATGACACAAGCAAGTAATACAATCACTGCTAAAGTAGATAAACCATGTGCTCAACTTTCAGAGTTGGCTGTTTTTCTTATGAGGTCAAAGTATGTTGAGACACACAAGTCAGAAAAATACACACAATGTGTACCCACTGAAAACAAAATTCCTAGTACTAAAACTTTTATGAAGAAACTCATTCTCAGATTGAAACTCATATTTCCCAGATTTGAGTCTTTTGGCTATAGAAGCACCACTCGTGCCAAATGCTGAATACTAGGTTTGATAAGTTTCTCCAAAACCATCATATCTTCGTATATTCAGTTCCAAAAATTATAAACTTGGCATCATTGGAGATTTAATTAAATATAAAACACCTCCTGTGAGGGAGACACTCCCAAATTTACATCTTAAATTATTCAAAATCGTCACGAGTTACGATATCCCTTTAAAGTTATTAAGATTGCTGAAATGAGTCAAAGTTATTCTACAAATTTGGTAAGCAGTCTACAAGTCTTAGAGGGGTGAAGCAATGTGGAAACCGGAGAATGTGGGAACCGGAGAATCAATCAACATTTGGGAGGATAGATGGGTTTCAAATTTGCCTGGAGGAAAAATACAATCTGCCAAATCTACCAACTGTGACATCATCAGGGTGAAGCAGCTAATCAACGGACAACAGTGGGACCCAGAAATCATAAATAAGCTATTTTCTGAAGAAGAGAGTGTAGCCATCCAAAGCATCCCCTTAAGCCTTTATGAAGGAAGAGACAGAATGAGGTGGAATTTCACAAGGTCAGGTATTTACTCAGTCAAGACAGGTTACTCTCTTTTAAAGGAAATGGCTAAAACCCATATGTCAAGCAAGTCTGTAAATGGTGGACAAAGCACAGAGCCAAGTAAAGGAATGATCTGGAAAAGACTCTGGGGACTTAACTTGAAGCACAAGATTAAACACTTCATCTGGAAGTGTCTCAATCAGACCCTTCCAACAAATGAGGCAATTGCCACACGGATAGGGAAGGGATGCAAGATTTGTAGAAGATGTGGAGAAGAAATAGAAACAATTGAGCACCTCTTCTTTTTTTGCAGAAATGTTCAAGATAGTTGGAAACTATTCCCAATTCAGTGGGAAGGATGTTTAGAGTACCAGTGGAATTTTGGAAGATGGTGGGGCAAATTACAAGAGGCTGCATATAGGAACCAGGGATCAGATCATATTGCCCTGACAGCAAATTTTCTGTGGCACTTATGGAAGAGCAGAAATGAAGTCTGTTTCAATTCAAAATTTCAAGAAAGCCATTGCTAGTCACCAGAGCCCAACAAGAGTGGCTTGAATATGAAGAGATAGGGAAACATGAAATAAGCGAAATCTTGGACTCAAGCCACACAAGGTTGACCAGGCTACCCACGGAGAAAGTCCCAGGAGCAATGTGTGTGGCCACCTGTGGAGCTATAGACAGAATCAAGAAAAAGGCAGGAATAGGAATAGTGGTCAGAGATAACAGTGGGAAGTTAACAGCAACAAGGGCGATGCCATTGACTTTCAATGAAGATAGGATCCTAACAGAAGCTCTGGCGATTCGTACAAGTTTGTTATTTGCAATGGAGAAACAGTGGGCTTTCCTAGAGATCCAATCCGGATGTAAAGCTTTGATAGATAGACTAAATGATGAAGCTGAGGAGGAATCCCAACTAGCAGTAATCATCAGAGATATAAAGCAACTTCAAGCATCCTTTTGGAAGTGTCTTTTCTCTGTAGTTATCTAGCAAAAAGACAGAGTTAGCTTTAAACTTGCGAAATTTGGAACCAAACTGATACATGATGTTAAGTGGGAAAGAACCTTCCCCCTGTGGCTCAAATGAGCATCACAGCTATGATGGAGCAGTTGCTCCTTTTTGTACACTGCTGAAGAGCGGAACGGATCTTCTATCCCACACCCTGTGTCACATCCTGTTTCACTCCTTAGAATCTCGCCAAGTGTCCCTTAATAAACCAAACCCTCAAACAACCCAACTCGGACCATATTAAATTAATTAATCGATTAACCGGACAGAAAATTTAAACCCATTCATTCTCTATAACCAAACCGATTAAAATAAAAACTCTTTAACCAAAATCACAATTTATCAAGAAAAAAACCCTAAAACCCAAACAACCTCTGTCCTCTTTTCATCATCTTCACCATTCTTTATAACCAAACCGATTAAAATCAAATTGAAGAAAAAAGATACAATGGCGAAGCAGGAGCAGCAGCAATGGAATGCTTGTAGTAATGGTAGTGGGGGAGCGATTGATAATAGCAGTTGTATTAGTAGAAACAGCAGCAATGGCAATAGCAATAGCAATGGGGGTTTGCAATTGCAGTCTTTTTTCAAATCCATATTTTCCAAGACTAACGACGAAAACAGTTTCAGAGAACGGAGGAGTAAGAGCTTCTTTGTCAAAAGAGACGGTGGTCATTCCGATGACTATGGAAACGACGACGACGGTTCCGCATGGGCTAAGCTGCCCGTTCCTCATCTTTCTCCTCTCGCTCGTTCCGTGATCTCCCGTTGTTCCAAGTAATCAATTGGATTAATTTCTTTTTCTACTCTCTTTCTTTGACAAGCATTTTTTCATACATTTGGCGGTCATATAAATCTGCATTCGCCTTTTATTTGTATAATGGCCTAAATGTATTTGTGATTATTATTATCATTATTAAGTAGGAAATTAATGTACCCTGATTTTGCGTATACTCCATTGAATTTAAGGCCAAAAAGTTTCTGCAAATGTAAACAAGGAAATAGCTGAGCTCTGCAGCGAGCAATTGTGTGATGTCATTAAAAGAAATTTCATCATTTTGTTAGCAAAGACACTTTGTCTTCTATAGTTGTTTTAACGTGTGTGTGTGTGTGTGTTTGTGCGTGTTTGTGTTAATCAATACAAAGAAACAATTGACCAAACAATATAAGTTCTTGACAGATGCTGATTGCTTAGTAGCTATATAAGTAGCCATTTTGAGATTAAAGTTCAATATCAATGCATTAGACCAACTCTGAACTCATATAGATTATTCTATTCTTGTTCTTGAATATTTCAGGCTTCCAGAGCAGAATTTCGGCCAAAGAATAAATTACTGATACTGGAAAAAAAAAGAAAAACATTTTCATTTCTTGAATTTGTTCTGCGTTGTGGAAAGTCGTCAGATTGGTCATTGGCAAAATCACATGAAATTGATTCTGAGTCTTTGAATCAAGATGGCTGCTTGGGAAGGTCAAGATCTCTTGCAAGGCTTAATGCCCAGAAGGAATTCTTGAGGGCAACTGCTCTTTTGTCTGATAGGACATTTTGCACTGAAGAATCCATTCCTGAATCCTTCAATAAGTTATTGACTTTGTACCCAAAGTTCCAATGTTCAGAAACAATTGACCAATTGAGACTTGACTTTGTACGGGTTGTTTTCTTATTTTCAAACGCTACATTATTGGGATTCATCTGCATTTCGCTTGAAGGAAATTATTGCAAAGCTAAAGCCTGTGCAACAACCGCAAATTGAAAGACAAAACCAACTTTACAATCTTAATTCTTCATCACAAAATGCTGTATCTCTCACCTGAAACTATCAATTAAGCATATCCTTTTAACTCATAAAGCCTAGGCTTTGGTGTTATGTATCTTGATAAGAAGGGCAGAAACAAAGCATTGGGAAGTACCAAATAGCATAAAGGAACCAAACTGTAGCCAAAGAAATAGATAAATGCTTATTTAGAGTCAATTGGACACTTTCTCAAGTTGAACAGATTCACTAATGCCACAAAGAGGCCTATTCTTCACAAGAGCAATAACTTCATCCACTTAACCGCTTGTATCAAGCTCTCCTAAAAGCTACGGCATCTTTGAATGGTAGCAGTGAAAAACTAGAGCTAATTGAGAGAAAACTCTACTTGTAGTTCATCTCTTTCCAGATGTACAAATGTAAGATTCAAGATCTTTTTTAGGCCAGAATTAAGCCGTAAGTCATCTCAAACCTGTCAACATCTAATCTCTTTCAAGGCTAGAAAAGTTGAGAACCAATTTGAACATATTAAATTAGTTGATGAATCAAACATATAGAAAGATCTGTTGAGCTTGGAGGTCAATCAAAGGATTGTCATTTATCAACAACAGTAAGAAACAAATTTTTCTAATGTCTGAGAAAATGTAGCAACCAATTTAAATCTGCTTCTGCTTATCCAAGCCCAAAAGCAATTAACAAAGTCAATAATTTCAACAGACTCCAAACTCAGAAACACATGGTGGAATTGAAGGATCAAATGATACCTACCAGTTCTTTTATACATTCCATACAACACAAAGCTAGCATACACAAAAAGTTGAAAGATACAAAACATTAAGATATCTCCATGAGGATCAAATGATACCTACCAGTTTTTTAATACATTCCATACAACAAAAGGCTAGTATAAACAAAAAGCTTTGGAGTGTTTCATATATAAAAAGTCATAAGAAAAAAATTACCTTAATGATCTTCACTTACAGGAATTATCTATAGATATTCAGAAATTTAATGAAGCTCTTAAGAAAATTTTTAAGTTTTTCATTTGTTTAATAATAGGCACTCAATTATCTTGTGTTGTGTTAGGTTTACCTGTTGTTTGGTTCCAGGACAAATTATCAATTCCCTTATATTACTTGATGCTTATTATTGCTTTTTGTTTTATGGTCTCTCTGGGAAATATAGACTAAACAAAAAGGGCCAAACTAGCTTGGAGTGTTTCTTACTCCTCGGTTCTCTGAAGCTGTTTTCGTCGTTAGTCTTGGAAAATATGGATTTGAAAAAAGACTGCAATTGCAAACCCCCATTGCTATTGCTATTGCCATTGCTGCTGTTTCTGCTAATACAACTGCTATTATCAATCGCTCCCCCACTACCATTACTACAAGCATTCCGTTGCTGCTGCTCCTGCTTCGCCATTGTATCTTTTTTCTTCAATTTGATTTTAATCGGTTTGGTTATAGAGAATGGTGAAGATGATGAAGAGAGGACAGAGGTTGTTTGGGTTTTAGGGTTTTTTTTCTTGATAAATTGTGATTTTGGTTAAAGATTTTTATTTTAATCGGTTTGGTTATAGAGAATGCATGGGTTTAAGTTTTCTGTCCGGTTAATCGATTAATTAATTTAATATGGTCCGAGTTGGGTTGTTTGAGGGTTTGGTTTATTAAGAGACACTTGGCGAGATTTTAAGGAGTGGGACAGGATGTGACACAGGGTGTGGGACAGAAGATCCGTTCCGGCTGAAGAGGCACTATTTTAATTAATATAAAAGTAAGTGACATTGTGACAAAAAAAAAATTCTACTAGTCTTAGCAATGTATTAGTATAAAGATTGGTATGTATGGCTAGACGGGATTCTCTCTCCATTATATCTATCCATTTTTTCTGTTAAATGCAAAATTACGTAATTCCACTTATTAATACTGCTGATGTGGCACATAACATTAAAAATACATATTTAAGGGATATTTGGTAAATGAGTTTCAAATTCAATAATATCCTAATTGTATCCATAGTCTTGTACTTTGAAATTTCACGCCGCATGATTCATGTGAGATTAGGCAAGCATTTGAGGACGAGATTTTTGAATTTGTCAGACTTGCAGTTACGTGTAGTTATGTTGATTCAGAAAATAGGCTGTCCATGCTAAAATTAAATTTGAAACTCATTTATCAAATACTAGAGGTGGCAATCGGGTCGGGGTCGGGTTGGCGGGTCGGGTTGAGGCTTAAGTATAACAAAGAATCTGCTGACTCGAACCTGACCCGCCAACTCGAAACGGGTCAGGGTACCTGACACGAACCCGAAAATTTCGGGTTCACGGGTTGGCGGGTCGACCCGAAATGACCCGAAACTTAATTTTAATTTACTAATTTATCACTGTAATTTCTAATAAAATCAATTTTTCACAAAATTAATTACATCATCAAGTAATAAAAATTTAAATAAATAATTTCAAACCAAATCTAAAATAAATTAAACACCATAAAAGTGTTTTATCCCAAACCAAATATAAAATAAATTAAAATAGCATAAAAGTAAAAAATAACATAATATATTATTTGTCCAAATATAATAATTTTAACTTCACACAAGTTAAATAAATTCATTTAGGATTAAGTAATTAATGCCTTTGGAAAAAAGAATGATTTAGTTTAGTTAGATAAAATAATTTTTATGTTTATTAAATTAGTTTTAATTCGTAAACGGGTCACATCGGGTCATATCAGGTCACCACGGGTTGACCCGAAATTGACCTGTTTTCTTTTCGGGTTCATCGGGTTCGACCCGATTCTGACCCGAACTCTCGAAACCTCAACCCAAACCCATTAATTTCGTGTTAGGTTCGTGTCGTGTTTTCGGGTCGCGTCAGGAATTGTCACCCCTATCAAATACCTCCAAATATGCATTCAATGTTACGTGACACATCAGCAGTATTAATAAGTGGAACTACGTAATTTTATATTAGATAGAAAAAATAAACATATATAATAGACAGAGAATCTTGTCTGATGTATAGTTGCTAAGCCACACGAGATACGCATGTTGCTATTGTAAGAGCGTCAAGCAAAATTATTTGTTGGGCCCTATAATAATCATATCCAAACAACAGGCCCTATGAAATAACAAAGTCTGATGGACGATCATAAGCGGATAGAGATTAAAAGAATAAGTCATGAATTGGCTTTTTTTTTTTTTGGGAGAAGTAGGAAGTCATGAATTGGCTAACTCAAGAAGTTTGATAACTTAGAGGAAAGTTTTCATCAAAAATAAAATAAAATTAGAGGATCACAATTATAGAAGTGAAGAGGCAATCACAAGAGAAAGACCATGGATTTTCCCGATGAAAATAACAATTTAATTTTGTTTTCTCGTGCTTTAGTGATAGCCTTTTAGTTAGCAATTTCCTTTCCGAAGTCTAGTTTAAGTTAATAGTGGATTAAGGATCAAGATAAAGCTTTGTAGTCGATTGTTTTCAAGGTACAACTTCAATTCTAGTACTTATAAGTAGTGAAGTTTTTCTTCATTATTTCTTCGTGTTCTTCTTAAAATTCTTTTTACAGAACCCTAAATCCAGGCCACCAAAAGCCCAAGAGATCACTATTACTGTCCCAAGTATATGCCTCGTCATCTTCTGCTCGATGCTAAAAATGCCAATCCTCAGAGCATTCCTAGAAATGAGAATTGGTTGGGAAATGGGAAATCAATAATTTACTAAATTTGAATTTTGAATTTCATGATAATTTTTCAAAGAAAATTTCTGAAATTTTTTGTTTCATCAGTAAATGCGTTTTGGGCTTAATATCAAATATGATTAATATTTGGAATCAGAATGTGTTGGGCCAAATATTGGACCAAGAATTGGGCCCTTTATGAAAGCTACAATTCCCTCGTTAGTCTAGCAAACTTGGACAGTGCTACATTGAGGGCACTGGTATGGACCTAATTGTGTATTCTAACTAAGGGAATATGCCAAGCGATGCGCTGGTGTCAGGTCGATGTTTTTAAATATTAGATAGTTAGTTTAGTGGTAACTTTTTACAGGTGAATAGTTTTTAAAATTACAGTGGTAATTTTTATAGTGGCATTTATTTAATTACAATGGTGTTTTTTAGTAGTAATTTTTTTCATTGGTTTAGTTGAAAGAGTGGAAAAATCAATGTTATTTTTTTCATTAATATTAGTAACATCAATTTCTTTATTTTTTTAGTAGTTTTAATTTTTTTAAGTAATATTATTATTAATATCATGTTTAGTAATATTACTGGTATTGTAATTAGTATTACTATTAGTATTATTAGTAATGTTATTATTAATGTAATACTAATATAGTAACAATATAATAATAATTTATTATTAGTAATAATGTACTAATAATATTATAATATAGTAATAATGTTAGTAATAATGTACTAATAATATATTATTATTAGTAATAATTTTTTATTAGAAATCATTAGTAATAATAATAATATTATTGTTATTAGTAATATTACTAATAATTTTAGTAATCATTATAGTAATATATTAACTGATATTAAATCTCAACACAATAGTCATTAAGAACTTTGATAATTAATCAGGAATTTCCTGTATCCAATTTTCGAAGGATTTTTCTGCCGGAGACACAATTTCGAACAGAAATCCACAGAAGTCACAGCGCAGAAGCAGGAGCAGTACAAAACCAATGTACAACAACCACCACCACCTCAAAGGTACAATACCTTTGAGCAAGGAGAAGCACTCCAAAGTACAACCCATTTAAGCAAAGTTGCACCTGAAAATCGCTCTACTGTAGAAACAGAAAGTGCTTCTTAAGTAAGGATTTCAAGGCCATTGGCCCCAAATCCCAATACACATTATCCAATCCAAAAAAATCCACCAAACATGCCAACAAATTCCTCAATATTCAAACACAAAACCAAGGGTGAAAAAAGTTTGGTCTTTGACAATAACAAGCAATTGCATTCCAATTTCATCAAACAAGCATTGATAATGCATCTAGAGGCTCCCTGCTTCATCAGTTCATCATGAATTCAACGTAAACTTCAGAGTCAGATTGCTACATTAGTTCAAAAACATAATCTAGAATACAAAATTAGAAGGTTCCAATGTGAGGCAAAGCTTGGCAACAACTTCTTGCTTATGGTGAACGAGACCCTCCAAAGTTCCAGCTGAGTAGTCTTCAAGTTAAAGACCTGAACCTCCATTCCTTTGAGCACCAATTCCCCAAAATATCTAAGGCAAAGAAAATGCTTTCAGGTTCAAGTTCAAACATGATTTAACAAATCAAAATTCTAGATAAAGAAGCCAGAAGTGGTCTGTTGCAAATTAGCAATTAACAGTACTAACGAGTTTAAATCCAAGTTAGTACTAGAATTAAGACAACAACGCGCAATGAGTTTCGAGAGGACAGCAATTTATGAAACAGCAGATTATGTAGTTTTCGACTAGCTTCATCAGTTCTTGAAGCAAATAGAAATACAAGAGATATCATCTCAAGAAAGAATGGTGGAATTCATAAGTAGCTGGAATTCATTAAAAAAAACTTACAAGACGGTGGAAGAATAAGTAACGTAATCCAAATCGTGCTCATGAACTCAAATTTGAACTCCTGATAAGGACTTTGATATCTTCAGTTTCTTCTCCAATCTTAATTGCTGATTTTTCCGCCGATTCACTGCACCAATGTACTTCAATCATCTCCAATGTATATATGTTTGCAAAATCCTCTGGAATCTCTTCAAGGTCTTTGCAATTTTGTAAGATGAGTCTTTCAAGCTTGGAAAAATGACCACAAGATGCATTCCATTGAGCAATGTTCAAATTGTCTAAGCTCAAGAACTTGAGATTCTGAAACTCTTCTTCTTCCACGTCCCATGTCTCCCCCTCAAAGGCACCAGAAAGTAACTTGAGGACTTCTAGGTTTGGTAGTCTCCCAATTGTGGAGATATGACTCCATGGAAGGCGAAAGTTTGATAAAGTCAATTTCTTTAGATTCAAAGGGAGGCTGAACTCGCCATTCTTAAGAGGGCTTCCATAGTAGAATATCTTGAGTGACTCCAAATGAGTCAGACAGTTCAATCTCGGAAAATGATTGCTGTTCGTGGAAGAATTTGGTGATTCATAGAATATGCAACTCAGTTTGCAAAGATTTGGAAGCCTCTTTATAATCCTTTCTGCATCTTTACCACAAGAAAGAGATAGGCAGGAAAAACTGACCAAATTTTCTAATATAGAGCTATCACCAAGCTCTTCAGCATCTGAGTCGAAAGCAACATGGAGATTTACATGAAGATGCCTTAAACTTGTGATGCGCCAGATGGTATTTGGTAAGGTGATCTTACCACTTAATCCCTTCACAATAAGAGTTTTCAGTTTCCTGAGGTTGGCTATCGACTGTGGAATGGACTTCAAATAGCCTCCAACCGCTAAATATCTCAATTGTACCAGAATTCCAATTTCTACAGGAAATGAAATACCCAAGTTGAAGCATTCAAAATCCAAGACTCTAAGCAATTTGAAGTTGTGCCAAATGAATGAGATGTCATAAGGGCGTTTGGGTTCTGAATCTGTAGAAGCAAAGAAAACCAAAGAACGGGTGGCCGAGCCAGAAGGTTTTGATTCAATGAAGTGGTTTCTCTTCAAAGATATAGCCAACCGATAGGATGCAAATGAAACGGGGGATGAATGACGGTAAAAATCAAATTCAAAACCATAATCTGTACTAGGAAAAGAAGCATATGGATTGTCAGACCTGGTTATCAGCTGAAAGAATTTCTCATCCTCGGTTTTAGACTTACAGAAATCAAGGACAAGATCATGGAGGCGACATGCTCTAACTTTGCCGTTGGATCTTCTTTTGGAGATTATCACCAAGCTTCTGTCAATTAGATCCATCAAGAAAGCCTCGGCCACATCTTCAAAGCCCTTCTTAGTTTCTGGTATGAAACCTTCTGCGATCCAAAGCAGCATCAACTTCCTGACAAGAATATCTCTGCCTTCATTAAGAACTCCCAAATATAGAAAGCATGATTTAAGATATTCCGGCAAGTGTTTGTAGCTGAGATCTAAGACTTCTTTGCACTGTGCTTCGGGATTATCAATTATTTGTGAGCTCAAGTTATCTGCGATTGTTTGCCACGAATTTTGGCTTTTTTCTGTCGTTTTCAGTATACCAGCAACCGCAACAACAGCAAGAGGCAATCCTTGACAGTGGTAAGCAATTTCCTTTCCGACTCCCTGCAGCTCACTGGGGCAACATTCTTCCTTGAATACCTTCTTTTCTAACAGCTGCCAACTTTCCTCATGAGAAAAAAGGCTTAGAGAAAGAGGAGGACTCTCTTGTTTAATTTCCGAGGCCACTCTGTGGAGGCGACTGGTGAACAGTATTCGACTTCCATTTGCATCATCTGGGAATGAGTTTTTCAAGTCATTCCAAGCTCCAATACCCCAAACGTCGTCCATAACTATGAGATACTTGTTTTTCAGTAACAACTTACGCAATTTATCTTGGAGATCTTCATCCCTCATTTGGCGAATCTCTTCTGTAAGCCCATGAATCCCTGTTAGAATTTCGAGCAACAATCTCCTTTTCTCATATTCTGGGGAAACAGAGCACCATGCACGAAGATGGAAGTGACGCATGACTTTAAGACTGCTGTACACCTTCCTCGCCAACGTTGTCTTGCCTAAACCAGGCATTCCAACAATGAAAACAATATCCAGCTTTGAGGATCCTCTAGTCAACTGGTTGAGAATTTCATTTTCTCTGTTACTGAGATCCACCACAATTTCGTCAATTGCTGATGTATTTTTTGTTGATAACTTGTCAACTGAAACCTGGGTGACACTCTTGGAATCTTGGACTTCCATATCAGGGGTTGTCAAATGAATTCCTCCGGCCTTCTCGCTAAGAAGTCTTAACTCATCCAGCACATTGTCCAACCAGAAGAAATGCTGCCATTGAGCATCACCCTCTATTGAATCAATTATGTACTCCGCCTTATATGCCAAATCAGTGAATCGGTCAACGAGATCTTCTATCTTTGGATGCTCCTCAATGTCCTCCAACTGTGAAAAATTCTGGAGGTGTACTTGAATCTCTTCCATGGGGAGCTTCACCAATGCAGTTGATGCAGAATTATATTTCAGCAGCTCCCTGAGGTTCCTCCCGAGAAAATCAAGGAACTTCAGTTTGGAAGTTTTTGGGAAATTAAACTCTGGAAATTTAGGAATAAGATCCATGAGCTTTGCCTTGATCAAATGTGTCTCCTTATCTAACAGCTCAGGAAATGAAGGGTTGGTCATTTCATCTTGTTCGTTGAGGAAGATAAACACATATGGCAGCCTGTGAAAAAATTCTCCAATTGCTCCTAATACGTCCTCTCTGTCCTTAATTCTTTCATCTGAGAGAATTAGTGCGATACACTCGAACTTCTGAACGAAAAGTTTAATTTGATCTTTCTGATGAGCCATAAGCCTTTCATCATTCTTGCTCTTCAGACGTAATAGCCTCTTCAGAAAGAACTCTCCCTTGTGCATCTCAAGCTGAAAACGAAGCACCGGAAGTGAGTATTTCACCACAGATGACTCATGATCCTTGAATTTTGATTCAATCCGCGCCAATAACTTTCGGGGATATCTGCACAGTCTTCTGGGGATTTGTCTACATTTGTCCATGACATCTTCAAAATCAGGAAGCATACTGAAGGAAAAGGAAAAGCTCTGCCTCGAGAAAACAAATCTTTGTAAGTAACTTAGAACACCGAGGTGAGCTGTCTAGTGTTGTCCTTTTCGACCAGCACTGTTATTTACACGAAAGTATGAAGGAGGACTGTATGAAGAAATAGTCTGGCCTCTTCTGAAACAAGATAAGCGGCCGGCCAAGAGGAGGGGGGAAGAGCAAACGGTAAGGAAAGATTTTTTCTATTTTCTGTGGAGAAAATGATGAAGTGGGAAAAGGTGTGAGGGAAAAACTGTGAGTTATGAAAGGGAAAAGGTGTGAGGGCTTTGACAAATAAAGAAAGGACGCAAAGCAAACGCTGTGTACCGTGTACCGTGTACGTCAATAATGGATGAAAACGTGGCCCTGTTCTACTCGTGTTTGACGTTTCTAATATACGTGGACATTTCTAAAGAAGTGGGTGAGCTGGTGCTGGATAATCAAAGTCGGCCGTGGACATTTCTACACGGGGAAGGCATAAGCCGCGAAACAGCCGCCGCCGCGGCGCGAGGAGAGGGGGGGATGGGGTGGGGTATGGGGTTGTATGTGTTTATACGTTTGAATTAGCCTTTTTTTTTTAAATATAATACTATCATAATTTTAAAAAATATTTTATTCATACAATATATTAATTTTAAAATTTTTTATATATATAATATTCGTCTGAATTAATTATTTTTAAAAATTAATTTTTCAAAAATAATAAAAGTTTTTAAAAAATACTCTAAAAAATAATTTAAAAAATAATTTAAATTTATTTAAATTTTTTAAAAATATTTTAAAATTTTTTTTACTTTTAAATATCTTAAAATATTTTCTAAAAATATTCTAAGGTATTTTCTAGCAAAGTTTTTAAAAATACTCAAAAAAAAGCTAATCCAAACGGAGAGTCGTCAATCCTCGTCCTCTAGTACAGAAGTGGTGTAGAGAAAAAGTTTTAATAGGAAAAACACCTCATCTCGAAAATGTCCATCTTTACCAGAGAAGACACGGCAGCAAAAGCTCCCCACCAAATCCTTAATCGCAACCACCTCAGCACAGCAGAGAGCCATAGCAAGTTGAGATGGAATCCCACAGTCTGAGGGATTGGGGACAGAGTTGATAATACATATTCAAGTAAATCATTGCAATCAAGAGAGGGGAGTTGGAATCGGAATGAGCTGCTGCTGCTGATCCCTCCTGACCACATCAAGTACAAATGGTCAAGAGCTGCTTCAACTTCAGCAATCAAGAGCTTGGTTTTTGTTGCACAATCAAGGGCCAGTTCGTTTAGGAATTCTTCATCTTTTACCTGGTCATCATTTCTTCACGGAAATGAATAAGTTTCTGGGCAATCTCCTCAGCTGTCGCTTCGATCTTGAGGCAGAAGGCCGAATTCTTCTCCTCATCTGTGGCAGCATGACCACTCCCCTTATGAGTGGATTCCCAATTTTTTCCCAAAAATCTCCAATCATCTTTGAGTTTTGATAGGATCTCCCAGGGATACTTTATGCCTCTCAGTGCAGAATCAAGGCGATCCAAGCTTGAAGAACCAGCACCAGCGGCAGAAGCCATCATGTCCAAAATTTTCTACTACACATAGATCAACCTCTCTGATTGACAGGTGCCGAACATGTGCAATAATAAGTACCTACTCGAGAAAAATACAGATTTTATATATAGCGGTGAGTAGGGTCGAATCCACAGGGACTGGGGATAATTCGTTTCTTCTAGAGTCCAAGGTATGGGGGGTTTTGGATTAAATGCTAACTAAATAAATTAAATGCAGAAAATAAATAAAAGGAATAATTATTGGAGAAACTCTAGCCAAGGGTACACTTCAGAAATGGTTCAGGCACTGATCATTGATTCACAGATAATTCCACATTTATTAATAGATTAGTTATAGTTGTCATGCACGCGACAAACAACCAACCCTTCCTTAATTTGTCGATAGCCAAGGTACGACCGTTGACTATTTCTCTAATCAGGAAACAACCCTAAGTACGACCGTAGGATTTAATTTCTAGATTTGCATTAATAATTAGAAAGGCCCAATCCTAACTAACAAACACGCTACGAGGGTTCGTTTAAGTTAGATCGTATGTTCCCCTGTCATAAACCCAATTACGCCAGTTGCTACCGAGATAGGGATAACGAACAATTACGGATTCAATTACCCCTATTTAGCAAAATAGCCTATATGAATAATTAAATATTGCGCATCTATTCAATCACTCACACGAGCTATAGCAATTAAAAGCAGGAAACATATAAATACCAATAAATTAAGGAAGCAATTAAAATAAATTAGATCTCACAGTAATTGTTGAACCAAATCTTTAGTTGTCCCCTTGACTAGAAAAGCTTAACCACGCCTCATGAGAAAATCTCCCCGTTGGGGAATATTGTCGAACACCTGGCGTGTGTCAGAGGCCAGTCTAAGGAAAGAAAGAAAAGAAACTAAAACTAAAGCCCTAGATATCTCTTGCTTCTGTATGTTGTCCCCTTTTAAAGCAACAAAAGAAAGATGACTAAAAACTATCTAGGTGGTCCCCACACATGTGGACAAAGCCTCCCAAGTACTTCTTGTTCCAAGTCTCTCTACGTTGCTTTCTTTGAAGCCCAAATGACCAAATGCCTTTCACTAGCTTGTGGTCCCCCACCAATTCAAGGGCCCAAGGATTGAAGCCCTTAGAAGTCTCCATATTTTTCACAAAGTCCCTCCTTTTTGGTAGTTTTCTGCTTCATTCCTGAAATTGATTCCAAATACCAAATATGAGTAAATATCAGCAATTAACACAATATTTGTCAGGGATAGAAGGGAAAATTAATAATAAAAATACTAACAAATTATACCCTATCACTGATCGATTAACTTTTTTGTATTTCTATGCAAAAATTTTGTCCCTACTTGCATATATTCTCTATTCAGCCCAAAACAACAGAAACAAATTGAATTTCTGGATTTGAGATGGATCTGAAGAATTTGGCCTAAGAATTCATCTTCCAGAAACAAGTTTAGAAATTTGATGTGTTCAGCTTGTGAGCAAGTTGGTATACAGAATACTGATGAAAATATCTACTGTGTCTTATATTTTATCACACTTAAATTGAAATGAATTGCGTACTGATGAGTGGGACCATGAATGTCTACTTTAGCACAATCTGGACAAACTTGAAGCTGAAATAATTGAAAACATTGTACCGGAAAAGAAAAGCTAAATGATTGTTTCCAAGCTATAGAGGAAAGAAAAAGGGATAACTGATTGGGGAAAGTTGTACAAGAGAATTAGAATTTAAATCTGGGGTGGGCTTTAAATGAAATCCAACCAATCAGTAGTGTAAATCCATTGAAGAGAATGATTCAGGTCCTATAATTAGAATTTAATGAATTCCAAGAAAGTTAAATGTAAATTACATATAAAACATAAAAATTAGACAATAGTCATCACAAAAAAATTGTGGAGAGTCATATAAATCCATTGAAAGAGAATGATTCAAGTCCTATTGAGAAAGCCATCTCCATTACTGCAAGCCATATTCATTCGGCTAAGAGCCAGTCAAAAGCACAATCGAATGACTCTAAAAGAGGGGGAACATAGACCACACCATAACAGCTTTTTGACTTGAAAACAAAGAGAGAGAGAGAGAGAGAAGGCCCTAGTGTTCGACATTTCTCTTTGTCGTGTTTGGTTTATTTTCAAATGAAAATGTTAGAATTTGCATCGTTTTAGGAATTAAGCTCAATTGAATAGGCTAGCAAAAATGTTGGACGAAAAAATGAGTGTTCAAAGTAAATTTTGGCTTGAAGGAAAACTTTACTCATCTTTGTACAACAATGATTAGTACAGCTAAATACTCTTAGTTCTCCCAACAATCCTTTTGTCTTCTATGACACTAGAATTTCTCCATTCGCACACACCATTAACATTTCCAATCCTATTAGGGTATGTTTGGATTGAAAAATCTGACGAATGATTTAAAATCTACTCAAATTGCTTTAGTTATTTGAATTATTTAAAAGGTATTTGGGTTTGTAGTTCACTAATTATCTAAATGTATTTCAGATACTAGAATAATTGATGATTTAGGAGTCCAAGTACATTTTAGGTAATCTAAACAACTAGAAAAATTTGAGAGAATCTCAAGCCCTTCATTAAATTCCTCAATCCGAATGCAGTCATAGAACCTCAAAACCTTGCCATCAAAATGAGAGGATGTCAAGTCTGTGCAATAATAATTACCTACTCAAGAAAAATATAGTGAGCAGGGTCGATTCCAAGTGGACTGGGAGTAATTCGTTTTTGCTAAAGTTCAAGTTATGGGGGATTTTATAGGAATTAATAATAAGCTATGCAAATCGAATATTGCAATTAAATAAAAATTAAATGGCAAATTATAAAAACTCAGATAGTATTGGACAGGCTCTAGTCAAGAAGCAACTTCAGAAATGGTTCTCGTAATTGATCATCGATGCAAGAATAATTCCACATGTAAACTGATAAACAAGTTATAATTGTCAAACAAGCGATGACAATCAATTTCTCCTTAATTATCAGTAGCTAAAGTACGATCGTTAGCTATTGCCCTAATTACAAAATAATCCTAAGTACGACCGTAGAATTCAATTTCGCAATTGCTTTAAGGTTTAGAGAAACCCTATTCTAATCAAACAACACGCTACGAGGGTTGTCTCAAATTAACCCGTATATTTCCCTGACACAAAACTAATCCTGTCAGTTACCACTACGTTAGAATAATTAAACAATTACGGATTTAATTACTCTAATTGGTTTTGGGTTGTTGAATTAATTTAACATCCGGGCCCAGGATACTTGAATAATACAACAACCATAAGAAAATCAAGTAGAAAATATATGAATACCAGAAAATAATAAAAAAAAATAAAATTAGTTAGATCTCACAATTTAAATTGAACCAAATCCTCCGCTGTTCCTTAACTAGAAATAAAAGTTTAGTTCATCTCTGTCGAAGGGATCCCACGCAAAATTGCAGAAGTAATTGTGGTATACATCGTTTCTCAATTGAGATGAAAAATCCAATGGAATAAGTCACAAGAATAAGATGAAAAAGTCAAAAACAAAAGTAGTCAAGATTGTCTGTTATTTTCCTATCTAATTGCCTACTTCCTATATGGCCATCAAGAAGAAAAAGGGGAAGAGTCCTCCTAGTCTCTGTTGACTCTCCTTGTGGCGGCTGGCTTCTCCCCAAAAGCTAAGTGGGGTCCTAATCAGTGTACAATTCTCCTC